GGTTTAAGAAAACAACCTGGGGAGGAATGGGTGTATGAGGGGAAAGATGGGGCATGGATTGCTGAGGCAGCTCAAGGCTTGAAGGGTGGGGCATGGATTGCATGGATTTCTGGGACTGATGCAGGGTTGGAAGATGGGCCATGGGTGCACGGTTCTAGAAAAGAGTTGTTGATAGCTCAAACACAGCTGCATATCCATGCATGCAGAGTGCATAGCCGGGTTACTCACAAACGCAGTATGCATACGTGCAGCAGTGCGCATAGGGGGGCGCTAATACATGCATATTGCAGCGATGATAAGCATGATATGGCCGGGGGAGGTGGTATGTGTTGCCCCTCTCATACTAACACGTTCAGACAATATGGCTTGATGGATACAAAGCGATCTTATACTGACAAGTGCAGACAATATCGCTCGGCTGATTTGACGGAGAATGACAGCTTGCACGTGGCTAGGCGGTATATGCACTCTGATAGGACAAACGGACGTGAGCAGACGATTGACAGCAGCATGAGCAGTATTGAGAGCAACGGCACGTGTGGCACCGAGAGAAGCAGCAGCAGCAGCAGCAGCGTCTGCAGCACTGGAAGCAGCAGCAGCAATAAAAGCAGAAGTAGCATCGAGAGCAGCAGCAGGAGCAGCAGCAGCGGCAGCAGCAGCACTGAGAGCAACAGTAGCATTCAGAGCAGCAGCAGCAGCGGCAGAGGGAACATGGGGTGGAGGGAGAGGGAGGTGCTTCAGCCAGCCAATCTGGTGTCTCTCGCCCGACTGGCCTCCGGCCCTCCCAGCAACACGTGCGGTGCCGAGAGCAGCAGCAGCAGCACTGAGAGCAGCAGTGACATTCAGAGCAGCAGCAGAAGAAGCAGAGGGAAGGGAGGGTGGAGGGAGAGGGAGGTGCTTCAGCCGGCCAATCTGGTGTCTCTCGCACGACTGGCTTCAGGCCCTCCCATTGCTGCGTGAGACACCGTTCCTTAGCTGTCTCACGTTGAAACCACTGCTGCTCTCCACCTGTCTCCACTGCTGCTCTCTCCCTGTCTCCACTGCTGCACTCATGCTGCCCCTACCACTGCTCCCTTTCCTCGCTTTCTCCCCTCTCACCCACCCACCCTCTCACATCCTTCAAGCAGCCCTTCTCCTTCCTCCCTCTAAACGTCCCCTTGCTGCCTTTGTTCCACCCTCCCCCTCCCTTCCCCCTCCCTATATAGTCTCATCGTCTACAATCACACAGAGGCAGCAGTCGCGGCTCTGTTACTGGCAGGGGCGTCTGACTGGGTGAGCCTTTTGCTACGGACGAAGAAGTTGACTTTTGAGGCACCTCAAAATGAGCCTTCTGCTACTGATGAAGAAGTTGTGATGGGCGAGGTTGTACTATTAACTTCAGAGTCGACTCAAAAGTCAACTCATTATTGGCAGGGGCGTCCGACTGGGTGAGCCTTTTGCTACTGACGATTTTTTTTTCGAATTGTCGAGGTTGTACTATTAACGAGGATGTTGCTAGTAACGAGGATGTTGCTGTAACGAGCATGTGTCGGCAGCAGTGCGTGTCAATTCCCCTCCTATTCCCCCTCCTGCCTTCCCTCCTTCCGGCCCCTGTCTTCCCCTTCACCTGTCTTTTTGTCTTTCTCCATTGCCGCAGCTAGATGGCTATTTGGCTCGGAGGTTCAAGGGAGGGGAGTCCGTGCTAGGCTCGTACCTAGACCCGCTAGCAGACAAGGCACTCGTGGCGTGTGTGGCGCTGGCGCAACTGTTGCTGATGGCAGTGCGTGTCAATTCCCCTCCCCTCCCATATTCCCTTTCCCACGACTCCAGCTAGACGGCTACCTGGCTCGAAGGTTCAAAGGAGGAGAGACTGTGCTAGGCTCCCATCTCGATCCGCTAGCAGACAAGGCGCTCGTGGCGTGTGTGACGCTGGTAGTGCTGGTGGAATCCCCTCCCCTTCCCACCTCCTGCCTTCCTTCCCTCCCTCCCCTGTCTTCCATCCCAACCCTCGTCTTTCCTCCCCCACTGCTACAGCTAGACGGTTACTTGGCTCGGCGGTTCAAGGGAGGAGATTCCGTGCTAGGCTCTTACCTTGATCCGCTAGCAGACAAGGCCCTCGTGGCGTGTGTGGCGCTGGCGCTGCTGGGGAAGGGGCTGCTGCTGCTGGGAGAGCTTGTCAATTCCCCTCCCTTCCACCCACCCCACCCCTCCCCCACTCCTACAGCTAGACGGCTATTTGGCGCGGCGGTTCAAGGGAGGAGAGTCAGTGCTAGGGTCCTATCTAGACCCGCTAGCAGACAAGGCGCTCGTGGCGTGTGTGGCGCTGGCGCTGCTGGGGAAGGGGCTGCTGCCGCCGTGGCTGGCGGTGCTGGTGCTGGCTCGAGACGTGTTCCTGTTCGGGGGGCACGTTGTGATGCGGTTGAATGCGGTGCAATGGAAGGTGCGTGGGTGGGTGGGTGGGTGGTTGGGTGGGTGGGTGGATGGGTGGGAAAAGGGCTGGATGGGGAGGGGAGAAGGGGTCTGCTGCCGCCATGGCTGGCAGTGCTGGTGCTGCTCGAGATGTGTTCCTGTTTGGTGGGCATATGGTGATGCGGTTGAATGCGGTGCAATGGAAGGTGCGTCGGTGGGTGGGTGGGTGGTTGGGTGGGTGGGTGTGGGAAAAGGGCCGGATGGGGAGGGGAGAAGGGGCTGCTGCCGCCATGGCTGGCAGTGCTGGTGCTGCTCGAGATGTGTTCCTGTTTGGTGGGCATATGGTGATGCGGTTGAATGCGGTGCAGTGGAAGGTGGGTGGGTTGATGAGGGCGGGGAGGGTGTTGGGCCTGCCGAGCCGGGGCTAGCAGTGCTAGTTCTGCTGCAGAGCGTGTTTCTGTTCAGAGGGCAATTGTTGATGCACCGCTCACAATAATCGCTCTCAACCGCACCTTACCCCCTGCAGTGGTGGCAGCACCGCGCTCACTTCTTCAACATCCAAAAAGGGACAGCTGAGAGGGTGGAGCCTCTCCTCATCAGCAAGGTGCGGTACTGTCTAACTGTTTTGTAAACAATTTATGCTCTTAGTTAAGTATTTTTCTGCCCATTTGCACGGTGGAGAGGGTGGAACCACTGCTCATCAGCAAGGTGCGCTTTCAGTTAAGATATTTTGTTACAACAAGGTACCGTACGGTTTGTTCTTGTTACAACAAGTGAATGATTCACCAGCAAAGTACCTTTCTAGCCAACTGTTTCGTCAGCAAGGCGTGTTTCTTTTTTTATTATTTTCTCCTGGGAACCCGCTGCACTTCTAAGCTTGTTTTCTCTACCAACACGCGCTTGTAGCTTAGAACTAGCTAGTCAACTCGGGTCAAACCAAGTCAAACACTTCCAACCCATGCGCCTTCTCCCGCCCCCCATGCAGATCAACACGTGTCTGCAGATGCTGCTCCTTCCTGCTGCCCTCCTGCACGACCCTTACCTCCTCTCCACCGCTCCCAACCTCCTCCCATACCTCTGGTACCCCCGCCTCTCTCCTCCCCTATCCTCTCTCCATTCCATTTCCACCTTCTCTACATCCGCCCACATCCTCCCCCATCCTCCCCCATCCTCCCCCTTCCTCCGTCCATCCTTCCCCCATGCTCCCCCCATCCTCCTCTCTCTCTGATTCCCACTCTTCAAAAATTGTCTGTAATAAACAACCCCTGTTTTTTCTTCTGTACCCTTGTTCATTCATATGACTTGTCCAATGTCCATCCCATTTCTTGCTTGTTCTTCTGAGTGATTTCTCTTTAAAGCACCATGCTTGCTCTTCTGATTCATCCGACTTGCTTCTTCTCTGCTCCCCTCCCTTGCTTTTCAGTTGCAGCCACCACTGTCACCTCCTGGGCAGCTTACATGTGGGTTGTCTACCCCGCTTATTTATCACACTTGCTTCTTCTGTGCCTCTCCCCCCCCTCCCTCCCCAACCACCCCCCTCTCCTCCCCTGCAGCTACTCAGTTGCAGCCACTACTGTGACCTCCTGGGCAGCGTACATGTGGGTTGGTCTGATGCGTAAATAGATGATTCAGTAGCTAACAGGCGAAAATCGAGAAACAGATACGGAAGGCCGTTCATTATGTATATTTGACTGTACTGAGCTGAAGATATGAATGAACAATCGCTGTCACTTCCTGGGCTGTGTACATGTGGGTTGGGCTTATGTGCAAAAAGACAATGTAGCCGTTACATGTGTGTGTTTGTCTACTTATAGGGGGTTGGTAGCTACATGGTATGCCTTCCTTTGGTGTACCGTACCTTGTACTTATTGTGTTATGACATGCGTGCATCACCAATGGGTTTCCAAAAAGCTCCACCCTGATTCAACCCTTGTGGAAAGCTCATGTGTGCATGGCTCCTCAGCTCATCATAACAACCACTTTTTCTCTAAAGGACGATCTTGGTGTTATCTACCGTAAGAGCTTAGTATGTGAGAGTATGCTGGGTAGGGGTTCAGTACTGCTGGGAAAGAGCCTATTATGGACAAATTGGGTACCTTAACCACCACATCACACGGCTCTTGCATCAGCCACTGACCGATTATCATCGACGTTGTTATTTTGTGCAAATACCGACTGCTTCTAAGGACTGTGTTTTTTTTTTTTTTTAAGGACTGCTTCTACCGACTACTTCTTGTGTTTGGTTAGTTTTGTGAATGGATGGAATAAGGTGTCAGCATGGATGAATGATAAATATAATCCTTTTATTCAAGCAGCGCTTTACAAGCAGGTTTTACAAGACAACCCACATGCCTACTACTAGCATCCCCTCCCCATGCACACGACAGTAGAGAAGCACAACGCAGGCATGCAGCTTGCAGTAAGAACCAGGCTTGCTTAGGTGCAAACACTCCCATGCACATCCCCTCCCAATCCATCCAACACCCCATCCTCCCTCCTCCTAAATCCTACCCATAAACCCTGGTAAAAATTCCAACGCCAATGCCACTTCCACCAATCCCCCAGCATGGGGATGCAAGGAGGAGACGGTGACCGAGCAACCACTCGATAGCTTAGGGTTTCTTGGGCGCAAAGGGTGTAAGGTTAAGGCCCGGGACAATGAGGCCAATGCCCTTGCCCGTGTCCGGGTCGAACGTGCACGTTGCGTTGGGCTGGCCGGCATAGCGGCACACTCCGTACTCCTTGGGGCGTTGAGCGGCAGCCATGAGGCTCGACGCGTACCTGCGGTTCAGGGTTTGGGGTTTTTGAGAGTCTCAAAACTGGCCGGCATAGCGGCACACTCCGTACTCCTTGGGACGCTGAGCAGCAGCCATGAGGCTAGACGCGTACCTGCGGTCCGGGGTTTGGGGTTTAGGGGGGTTTTGAGAGTCTCAAAACTGGCCGGCATAGCGGCACACTCCGTACTCCTTGGGACATAGAGCAGCCGCTATGGAGGAAGGAAGTAAGCGGGGAGGAGCAGGTTGTGGAAGCAGAGGGTGCGTAATTGCAAGGAGTGAGAAGAAGCATCAGTGGGAGAGGGAGAGGGTGCTAATGCATGGTTGCACGAATGCATGAAGCAGCTTGATTGCATGAAAGCTTGATAGCATGGAAGCTTGATTGCATGGAAGCTTGATTGCATGGAAGCTTGATTGCATGGAAGCTTGATTGCATGGAAGCTTGATAGCATGAAAGCTTGATTGCATACGTTTGGCCATTGGGGGAGCCGTAGGTGGGCAGATGCATGTTGCGGAAGCAGCGCCAGCCGCGGCAGCGAGGGCAGCCCGGGCAGGTAGGGTCCGCTGCGCAGTTAAAGCCGTTCCTGGGGTGAGGCGCCGTGAACCGGCAGGTCCCTGGGGGGGAGGGCGGAGGGAGAGGGAGAGGGGAGGGGAGAAGAGGGGGGATGGGCAGCCAGGGCAGGTAGTGTCCGCCGCACAGTTAAGCCAATCTTGGGGAGGGCGGAGGGAGCGGGGGAGGGGCAGGGAAGTGAGAGGAGGGGAGAGAGAGAGAGAGAGAGAGACCGCTTGAGAGAGAGAGAGAGAGAGAGAGAGAGAGAGAGAGAGAGAGAGAGGAGGGGTGTGGGAGGAGGGAGAAGAGAGGGAGGGGTGTGGGCAGGCAGGAGGAGACAGGACACACTTGCAATAACCCGTGGCCCACTCATAGGTTCCCAACCACTCATAGGTTCCCAACCACTCATAGGTTCCCAACCACTCATAGGTTCCCAACCACTCATAGGTTCCCAACCAGGTTCCCAACCACTCATAGGTTCCCAACCACTCATAGGTTCCCAACCACAGCCTTCTCTGACTGCGTGATAAAAGTTGTATTTTGAGACGTCTCAAAATACCCGTGGCCCACTCATAGGTTCCCAACCACTGCCTTCTCTGACTGACGTATGTGCACCACTGCCTTCTTTGCGTCCCTTCACACGGAAATGCATTAGAGGCGACTAGAAGAGCACTTACAGTAGCCCGTGGCCCAGTCATAGGTGCCCAGCCACTGCACGCCTCGCTTCACGTATGTGTACCATGTGCCGTTCTTGGCCTTCACAGAAATACCGAACAAGGGGTGGAACCTGCGGGGGGGGGTGGGAAGGGGGAGGGGGAGAATCTGAGGGCGGCGAGCAGAGAACGGCAATGGGCGGGTGTGGCGCGCATGGGCAGAGGGGGGGGGCAGCGCCTGTTTTGGGGAAGCGCCTGTTTTGGGGAAGCGCCTGTTTTGGGGAAGCGCCTGTTTTGGGGAAGCGCCTGTTTTGGGGAAGCGCCTGTTTTGAGGGTTTTCTGTTGAGCAGAACGAATGGGGTGAGGGGGAAAAAGAGAGGGGGATGAGGAGCAGATGTGGTGTCGTTGCAGCAGTTGCTCGAAAGGCGAGGGAAGAACGGGCGGGCACGGAACGGAACGAGAGCAAGAGAAGAGATGGCATCGAGAGGGCAGAGAGAGGGCAGAGAGAGGGCGGAGAGGGCGGAGTGAGGGCAGAGAGAGGGCAGAGAGAGGGCGGAGAGGGCGGAGAGGGCGGAGAGAGGGCAGAGAGAGGGCAGAGAGAGGGCAGAGAGGGCAGAGAGAGGGCAGAGAGAGGGCAGAGAGAGGGCAGAGAGGGCAGAGAGAGGGCAGAGAGGGCGGAGCATACTTGGGGGTGTCATACGGGTAGAACCCGAAGGGCGTCGTGTTGTTGGTTTTGCGCTTCCACTCTGGCACGCCTTGGAGCTTGCGCCCAGGCGCCCCCGCCCCCGCCCCCACCGCCGCCGCCGCCCCCTCCATCCCCGCGACGAAGTTCTTCACCTCCGCGGGCGCGTCCGCGGGGACAGGCTGCGGCGTGAGCGTGCGCGCAAGCTCCATGTCCGCCCCCTCCAGCGTCATATCGAACAGCGCGCTGATTGGGGATTCGAAATCGGCGGGGAGATTGACGGGCGCGGGCGTGGCGGGAGTGGCGGGAGTGGCGGGAGTGGCGGGGGTGGCGGGGGTGGCGGAGTCGGTCAGGTCGTCTACCGCCTCTCCCTCGGATTCATCCGGCTCGTCGGTCGCGGGGCCGGCACCGGGGTTGGTCGCGGGGCTGGCACCAGGGTTGGTCGCTGGGCCGGCACCGGGGTTGGTCGCGGGACCGTTGCCCGCGCTCCCCGGGTTCCCCGGGGTTGCGCCGCCCGCTGCGCCGGGGAAGCCCGGCGGGAGGTTCATTCTGCCAGCCCCGGCGTCACCGAAGCCGACGGCCCCGGAGGCCACCACGCCGGAGGCCGCGTCGGCATCTGTGCCGTAATCCTCGTCCGCCGCGTCCCGTACGCGCTCGACGTAGTCATCCCCGATGTCCTGCTGGAGGACGCGGCGGGAGGCGGAGGCGGAAGGCGCAAGGAGCGCGCATGCGAGAAGCAGCGCGCAGGCGAGGAGCGGGAAGACGAGACGCGGCTTGACCGCCATGGTGGGAGGAGCGGTGCTGCTAGCTGCTGCTGCCGATACCGAGGAGAGAGACTTGCTGCTGAATCCAAGGGCGAATGCGTGGAAGCGAGGCTTCAGGGGTGCTTACACTTGGAAGGGTAGAGCTCCTCGAGCCGATGAGAGACGAGAGAGGAGAGAAAACTGGATGATTTCGAATGGCCTCAGTCGCTTGCTTTAATAGCTTTCAGTCGTCGTGGTTCCCACCCCACACGGCCACTCGCTGCCCTGTGTGACTCGAGTCAGACCAGCAGGGAGCCTGTCCTCTGGCTAGCAGGGAGCCTGAATCTCAGACGACTAGCGACTCCGACTCCCAGGCGAGTCCGAGGCGGATTCGAGGCGGTCCGAGTCGGTTCGGAGTGGGGTCGCGTGCGGAGGTTGGATCAACCCCAGTGGCACTGGCATCGACGAACCAACCACCAACGGATGGTGCAGCCCGGTTGGGCGACTCGCGGGGGAGTCAACCTCTGCAACCTCTTCACTCGCGCGCGTCGCCCGCTGCGTCGCACACAGTCGCACGGGCGTGAAGAGGGAAAACGAGTGCATCGGGGGAAACTACTGCCGATGCTAGGCTCTTCGGCTGAGATGGAGCCACTGAGCGACCGAACGACATAGGAAACGAGCGATTACCGAACGACATAGGAAACGAGCGAGGACCGGACAAGCTATCGCGTGATACATCCAGCGGTTGAGACGGTTCGCCAGGCGTCGAGTCTGAGCACCGGAGTGCACCGCACTGGCGTGCACCATACCGACGAGGACCGGACACGGAGGACCGGTTTCTCAACACGAAGGGCGCTGCATGGCTTAAGGTCAGAAGCTGCATCTTGCTCGTTGTTAAACGCCACGCTACGGGTGAAGGCACAGGCTGGAATCGGGAGGTTGCGGGCTGACTGGATGATTATGGAACCGCCGCGTTTCGTCCTCTGATGAATGCAGTCTGCAGTCAACTAGAAGCGGCCCACTCCAGACGACTTTCGAGACGTCTCAAGGGTTGATTTTGGAACTACTACGGAGCTGCTTTTGACTGGTACAGCACCGCTGGTTCTCCTCCACGGTGTCCCCTCGATTCTCCCTGCGGCATCTCCGCCTCCGCCCTGTCTGTTCCATATGACAATGTGAGACATGGAAACTAACCGCAATTGCGCTACTGGATGATGTTGGGGCAGCACGAGCCGAAGAACGAGGAAAGAGTTTATTTGAATCTCGGGGAGGGAGGCAGGCTCATCTGAAAGGGAGGGAAATCTCGAAGCGCAGGCGTGACGCGGTTTGGTCGCAAATGTGCCGTTTGGTATTCCAGTTAAATACCCGTTATAGTCTACGGTAAGGAGCAAAACGTCGAAAGACCGTTCAGGAATACACGGTTCTGAATTATAAATATATAGTTATAGAATACTATCACAGAGCAGAAAATATATACTGTATCATGGAAAGTGTTGTCAGTAGCTAGATACGGCAAACAGAAAGCAGTATCACATTTTCCAAATACTACACAACGTGGGTAAAAGGTCGGCGCGGCCGTGGCGAAATACAACATGGTGGTTTATGTTTAGGAACACATTCTCTGTTATGGTTCATCATTTTATCTAGGATGGACGTGCTTCATATTTTGTACCATGTACATTAACAAGCACACTTACCATAACAAGAAACAGGCGGTTTTATGTTTCAAATGACCATTTGGTGAACTTGGAAGAAGCTAAACGAGTAACCAATATCACACAATAAAGAAGGCAACCAGACAAGGATACCTAGCACATCCTTGCCTTGCTACCAACTAGTTTAATAACTCAAACCACCTTGTATTTCCAGGATTGCAACAGACAAGCCTTTTACACCTGCGCGGTGCCGGCAGTGAAGTCTGGGTTCTCGCACTTGTAGGTGCCGTCAATTCCGATTCCGAAGCCCCTGGGGTCAGCAAACACATTCTCCAGCAGCTGATGGCGCTCCGGCAACGGGCTCTCATCAGCAAACTCAACAGCATCCTCCACAACGTCATCAATCTTCTTCTCAATCGCCTGAAAGAAAATGAATCGGGTGCACATACAAGTTAAAGCATGAAAAACCATGAGGGCACGACTGACAGATCCAAAGCAATCTAAACCCGGGCTGTGATTGCCAGGACGGTTGGACCTTCAAGAATGGAGGCGAAATTCTCTGGGCGTAGTGCTCACGCCTCATTCATTCATTCAAATCTGAGACTGCACATGCAGCCATTCGAGAATCTGGTTACAACACTTAAACCCCCGGAACCTAAACCCCTCTTGCTCTCGAGCTGATCAGCTCCTTGCATGACCGTTCTCCTCACCAGAAAAACGCATGGGGTCATGACGACACAGGTGTCTAGCCAGGCAACACAAGTGAGACAGAGCTTGCGCAGATCTCGTCACCAGCGCATCACCCCAACGGAACCGTGCATCCAGTTGTTCACAATCCTCTGCCTCGTCCGTTACAGCCACTATCTGATGATGTAATGCAGCCAGCCCCGACACACTGCTCCACCCTGCAATACGCTCGTGTCACTCACCTTGAGGTCGGCCTTGGGAGGCGAGCCCCGACTCCAGGATGTGCTTCTTCAGCGCGATGATGGGGTCACGTGGGACGAACTTGGCAGCTTTTCTTAGTCGACTCAGAAACCCTGCTTCACACAGTGTAAGACGCTCGTCTCACCTTGAGGTCGGCCTCGGAGGCGAGCCCCGACTCCAGGATGTGCTTCTTCAGAGCGATGATGGGGTCGCGCGCCGCGTACTTGGCCTTCTCCTCTGCGCGGACCAGGGAGGTGCGGAGAGGACGAGGATGGAAGAAGGGAGGAGAAGCGACGGGATAGGGGAGGGAAAAAAACGGAGGAAGGGGGGCCAGGATTTAGGAAAGAAACGTGGGCATCCTGGCAGGGATTTCGAAAAAGAGAGAAAGCATCGTCATTCGCCTTGTTGTGTGTGGTGCCTTTCACTTGTCCACCGGCTAGAGAGTGGGTAACACAATAAAGACACAGGGGTAACTCAAAATGGGACAGGACAGGAGTAACTCACCAGGGGAGCGAAGCTCATCGGGGTCGGCCAGGGAGTGACCGCGGAAGCGGTACGTCTCGCACTCGATGAGAGTCGGGCCGTCGCCCCGCCTGGCGCGATCAATGGCCTCCAGCGCCACCTCGCGCACCTTGAGCACATCCATGCCGTCCACGTGGACTCCGGGCATGCCGAACGCGGGGCCCTTCTTCCAGATGGCGGGGTCCGACGTGGAGCGCAGGTGGCTCATGCCGATGGCCCACAGGTTGTTCTCCACCACGAAGATCACCGGAAGCTTCCAGAGCGCGGCCATGTTGAGGCACTCGAAGAAGGAGCCGTTGTTGCACGTGCCGTCGCCGAAGAACGCCACTGCAGCCGGACGCAACGAATAAACAAAACGCAACCGATCAGTAAAAAATCGAGGTGCAACCCATTGACTTCGTTTTCGCGCTAAACGATTTCCTTGACGCTCTGATACGCGATACTACGATCGGCGGAAGGAGGGACCACTAATGCCACCAGGCGGTACGAGAGATCACACATCTGTCAGCGGAACGAGCGTCTCACCTGAGACCTGGTCCGCGTCTTGCTTGAGCACCTCCTTGTTGTACTTCGCGGCGAACGCGGCACCAACGAGTATTGAGTCGACTCAAAAACACACGAGGAACCAGCACAACTGTCAGCGCAATGAGCGTCTCACCTGAGACCTGGTCCGCGTCTTGCTTGAGCACCTCCTTGTTGTATTTCACGGCGAACGCGGCGCCGACGGCGACGGGGATACCCTCGCCGATGAAGGCGAAGCCGCCGAGCACGCCCTGCTCCTTGGAGAACATGTGCATGGAGCCGCCCTGCCCGCGACAGCACCCCGTCGTCTTGCCGTACAGCTCCGCCATCACCTGGCGTGCGGACACGCCCTTGCTCAGCGCGTGCACGTGGTCACGGTATGTGCTGGATCGTGGGAAAACGGAGGAGTTGTTGCGAGGTAGGGTCGGGGAAGGGGGGAAGGGGGAGGAGATAAGGGTCAGAGGGAAACGTTCATTCGAAACAGAATAATTAGGAAATGGTTCAAGAAGACGAGAAGAATGTCGCCACATAATAGAAGCGACAAAATATTTGACACGGCGGGTGCAAGCGCGACGCTTGTTACCTGGTAACGTAGTCGTCCTTTCGCAGGTATTTGATGATGCCGGAAGAGACGGCCTCTTGACCGTTGTACAGGTGAACGAAGCCAAACATCTTCCCGCGGTAATACATCTGAGCGCACATGTCCTCGAAGGTGCGTCCCAGCACCATGTCCTCGTACAGCATCAGCGCGTCATCGCGATCAAGATCCTGGTTAAAAAAAAATGTCGAGGGAACATGGAGACATTGTGGATGGAACTTGTTGAAACGGAGACTACAAGACACGCAGGACGAGAAAAAAAATCGCTATTCTCTAGAAAGTGAAGTATGAAGAGCGTAACTGGCGATTCTCTAAACAGCGAAAACGTGTTGAAAAAAGCTCCCTCACAGCCAGTTCAGGAAACAATGAGGAAACTGACTCAAAACTCTCCTCGAACAAAGTACAGAATAATGAAAAGGATTATTAAACTAAGCGAGGATCATCGCAGGGTTTTTGACAGGTACTGTTCGACAATGGATGTATATTGATATTTAGCTTCTTCAATGACTACGCACCGGCACGACATAGGTGGATGTTGAAGGATCGGCAGTGGCAGTGGCGCGCGCAGCACCAGCCTTCCAGTTCCCCTTCACCTGCACGGCCTTAACAGCCTTTGTGGGAACTCGCGATCCCAGGAACCGGCTGGACAGCGGCGCAGCAGCACCAGTGCTGACAGCAGACCTGGTAGTAGCCGTGGTTTGCCGAGCAGAATCTGCTGGTAGGGTGCAAGCCCTAACAGCCGGAGCAGCAGCAAGAGCCATGACGGATGGGAGTCACGATTCCGAGCTCAGAAACTCAACTCTCAAAAACCAAGGAAATCCCGAATCACGACCCAGGCTGGATTTGAGATCGGAATGTCCAGCTACAGAAATGGCTACTCAGACCTCGACCAGTTTGATATGATGATATCCGAGCATGCTCCAATCCAGGAGACTGCAGAGAGTGGCTGAATGCTAGTGAAGGACTGACTGCTACTAGAGCTGAATTGACAAATGAAAGAATGGGGTCAGTAAACTGGATTCGCGACGAACCTGTGTCATGAACGGTCGGGATGAAAAATCAGGTCAGCCTCGACGTTCTCGATGTGAAGAACGCCGTCGATTTACAGCCTAGAGGTTGCTCTTATGACGTGAGTGGCGGTTGGGATCTCGATGTGAACGAAACCTTTCCTCGTGCTGCTTTTGCGGTGAGTAGTGAAGAGCTGGATGTTCTTCGTTACAAGATTGGGTGCGCTGCTTGCCACTGGTGTATAGCCTAACGCGTCAGACATTGCCACCTGTACGGTCAAGCGTGCGTAAGGTGATATATTGTCATCCCATCTCGAAACGCTGAGGTGGACAGATTGGCTTTCAGATGCAATGACCAATTCAGACACTATTGACACGTGGTGCCACGAACATCTTCTGCGCACAGAAAAGGTGGGAGAAAGGTCATCTCACACATGCGGCACGAACGAACCTCTGTCTGTGTTGTCACGTTGACCCGCGCAAAGATGATGCTGGGTTGTGACTGATATATTTTTTCCTCGGCACCCTAACCAACCGCTCGAAACCTTAACCAACAGTAGCCTGATTTGCTTGTAGCTTAGCTATATTCAGAACGAAGAGGTTCCTATTCCTGTCTTAATACGGTACTCACTTCATATGAAGTGAGTACCTTCCACTTCTACCCACTTTTCACCCATAAGTGCCACAAAGCTTTCTGAAGTAAAACAGATTACTAGAGGCAGGCCCCTACTAAAGATTTTACCATCATGCTCGTGCATTTTCTCTACTCATAGCCGCATATCAAAGTAATAGACAAAATCTCGCACTCACCCATCTTCATGCCAATTAAAAAAAAGTGTTGGTCAACAACAATCAAGATACATCGCAATACATATCCAACAAATCGGAGTCAGGTCCATTAACAAACCCAGTAGCTGCAGGATCAGCAGCATTTGGCTTGCAGACCCCGGTTCCCGAACATAGCGTTCCCGAAGCATCCACCGAACCACATATTGCACATGACAATGTGTCTCTTTGAAAACTGCCTGCTGATGTGCAGTTGTTGGCTTGCATGAAACAATTGTACAGTGCACTGCAATATGTAAGTTTATTGGAGGGGAAGTTTCCGTAGATATAACTTTGCTCGAAGGACAGGTAAGCCAAGGAAGTGGAGATGGCTGGAAGAGTGCCAGTCAGACAGTTGAAGTTCAGGTTCCTACAAGGCAAAGGGAGTGACAAACAATGCAGGAAAGATACACAAATTAGGAATTGCAGTACTGAACTGGAGCAATGTTAAGGAATTAGGTACAGAGCACCGAAGTGGACATGGTAATATGGTATATGTGCAAAAGCTGGTGCGCATGGTGAGGCACATGGTGATGAGGCACATGGTGGTGGCAGTAGCTGACAGGAGAAAGACTCACAGCCTTGTGAGGCGGGGCAGTGCCAGCAGGGCAGCTGGCATGGATCCGTGGAGCCAGTTGTATTGTAGCTGAGTGGACATTTGAGACGCTTCAGAAGGAGGCAAGATACTTGGTTGCTGAAATGAGAAGAGGAGACTCACAGCCTAGTGAGTCGAGGCAGCGCCAGCAGGGCAGCTGGCATGGAGCCGTAGAGCCAGTTGTACTGTAGCTGACTGGAGGGGGACGGACAATACAGTGGTATGTCAATGCTGGTCAATGCGAGTCAATGCTGGTCAATGTGAGTCAATGCTGGACAATGCGAGTCAATGCTGATCAATGTGAGTCAATGCTCGTCAATGTGAGTCAATGTGAGCCAATGCTGGTCAATGTGAGTCAATGCTGGTCAATGTGAGCAGAATCAAACTATCTAGAGCACTTCAAGGCATGGGGCACTTACAGCATGTTGCGGCTGGTGAACGATGGAAGTGAGATCTGCTACATTGCATAGCTGTAGATAGAAATGCTGATAATGTTGAATTTGCAGATTTTGCATGACATGGCATGGCACACTCACTGAGTCTTCAGGTTGGTGAGGGTGGAGAGGAGGGAGACTATGCTCCTGAGCAAATACTGAGGCACCTCAAAAGGCATGGCATGGCACACTCACAGCGTCTTCAGGTTGGTGAGGGTGGAGAGGAGGGAGACTATGCTCCTGAGTGGCGTCCAGAAGAGGTTGGCATGGAGGCTCCTGCAGGAAGAATTGCAAGTGGAAAGCGAAGAGATGATTTCTGAGGTTCCTGAAAAGACGTTCGGAAGAACAAGGCATTGCGACTTCTGCAGGACGATGCGCTTTTCTGGGGTGAACAAAAAAAAACATAAAATCTAAGGGTTAACTGCCGTGCTGTAAAAGGTTCTATGAGTACATACATGCATAAGCGGTGGATTTCCACATAACTGGGTGTCACATGCATAGGTGCATGGCATGCATGCACATGCAGGCGTACGCATGTGCCTTACAGGTGAGTGAGAGTGGTGAGCTTGCTCATGTCCGGATGGAGGAACCCTTTCATCTGCTGGCACACCAACTGTCTTTATTTTGCTCCAAGTTACTTCCTAACTGCTGCTCGCCCAGTCTTCATGGCTGTCCGAATGGAGGAGCCCTTTCATCTGCTGGAAACTCAAGATTGCGTCACTTTTGAGATTCTCACAAGATTCGGCAGAAGGTCTTACATACAAAAGTGACACAGGCAGAGCCTTACAGGTGAGTGAGAGTAGTGAGTTTGCTGATGTCTGAATGGAGGGACCCTTTCAGCTGCTGATAGCTCAAGTCCCTGCCAGGTGGAGGGGAGGGAGGTGGAGGGGAGGGAGGTGGAAGGGAGGGAGGCGGAGGGGAGGAAGGGGAGGGAGAGGCGTTGGCAGATGTCTAATCTTCAGACACACAGCCACAAGGGAGATGCTTCATGAGCATGTGCTGGTGGTGGTGGTGGTGGTGGTGGTGGGAGCCTGGGAGGTACCGTAGGTCCCAAGCTGCAGGTAATGGGCACGCTTACAATACAAGTACTGTTTTGAGTAGCACGGTACTGAGGAATGCTCGGTACTCAAAGCATGCTTACAAGTAGGTAATGTTCCCAGTGGCATCACAGCGCACGCCCGCCCACGTCTGGCCCGGCCGGCCATGTGGTGGCGGCGCTGGGAGGTAGGTCGCACAATTCCCACAGAGAGCACACTCACAAGTAGGTAACACAATACAGTGCGCACTCACAAGAAGGTAACACAATACAGTGCGCACTCACAAGTAGGTAACACAATACAGTGCGCACTCACAAGTAGGTAACACAATACAGTGCGCACTCACAAGAAGGTAACACAATACAGTGCGCACTCACAAGAAGGTAATGTTCCCAGTGGCTTCGCAGCGCACACCCGTCCATGTCTGGCCCGGCCACGGGTTGGTGCCGTCTATGGCACAGGGCAGGCTTGAAACCCATGTTGTGTGGGTCACTCCCAGCGTTGACTTGAGGGCGAGGAGAGCAGATGCTGATGAGAGGTTGGTGGGATGTCGATGGGAGATGGAAGGGAGGAAGACGGAAGGGAGAGGGGAGATGGGTTGGGAAGAGTGATAATGGCACACGGCACGCCTGTGAGCCATGTTGTGTGGGTCAGTCCGAGGGAGGAGGAGGAGGAGGAGGAGGAGGAGGAGGAGGAGGAGGAGGAGGAGGGGGAGGAGGAGGAGGAGGAGGAAGAGGAGGAGATTGCAATGACAGATGAACCTCACAGGAACAAGCAGAGGCATGCAATGTTGCTGGTGCTTTTGAGAGTTCTCAGAAGTAACACCAACATAGAGGCATGCAATGTTGCTGGTGCTCCTTTAGTTCTCAGAAGTAACACCAACATAGAGGCACTCATGGCACACACATGAGGAGGGGCAGTCGGGAGAGGCAGTCAGGAAAAAGACGGGCGGTTGGGAGGAAGACGGGCGGTTGGGAGGAGGGGCAGTAAGAGGGATACTCACAGGAGGAGGAGCGGATGGAAACGAGAGTTGAGCCTGATGGGAACAAGCAGTCGTACGCATGGGCATACATGCGCGGGATGCAAGGGAAGAGAAGGGAAGAGAAGGGAAGAGAAGGGAAGAGAAGGGAAGAGAAGGGAAGAGAAGCGAAGAGAAGGGAAGAGAAGGGAAGAGAAGGGAAGAGAAGGGAAGAGAAGGGAAGCATGATGAGGAGCCGTTTGCACAAATAGAGATGAAAGACACACAAAAAAAAACAGATTTTTGAGGCGACTGAAAGAACAGCAGGAGCAGGAAACACATGGGAGGGAGAGGGGGGAGAACTCGTAACTCTGTGAAAGGATGTTTTGAATGTGCAGCAGCACGGATATGGGAAGAGCTGTGCGCGTGGATCCATTGAGAATGCTCTGAGAAGCTGCTGCCTGCACACACGCTGCCTGCACACACGCTGCCTGCACACACGCTGCCTGCACACACAGCATCCCAGCACCCGGCGCATCCCAGCACACTCAGCAACCCAACACACGTCATATTCCAGCACACACCGCATCTCAGCTCAGCACACACCGCATCTCAGCTCAGCACACACCGCATCTCAGCTCAGCACACACCGCATCTCAGCTCAGCACACACGCCTCCCATTCTTACAATATACGCACCAACGCAGGTCATGGCAAGAGTGGGCCGCGTGGGCCCGTTGGGAATGCCCTGAGAGGCAGCTGCTGCAGCGTCTGCTGAGCACACACCATCCCAGCACACGCTCCCAGCTGCAGCATCACCCATCCCACACACCGCACACTCTGCTGCTGCCCTCTGCTTCGTTCCGTAGAAATTGCACGAGGAGGAGGGGGAGGAGGAGAAGCAGTTGTTTTCGGCGGCACAGAATTTGAGGGAGTGTGGAGGGAGGGAGCCGGAGAGGAAGTTGTAAGCAACGTCTAGTCCCAGGAGGGATGAGGGGATGGGAGGGATGGTGCCCGTGAGGTAGTTGGCGAAGAGACCTCTGCGGTGGAGGGGAGAGTGGAAAGGAAGGAAAGACATGCGTGAGTCCTCTCTCACAAGGCTTCTGCCCGCCCAGCCCACGTGACCGAATCGGAGGGAGTGTGAAGGGAGAGAGCCGGAGAGAAAGTTGTAAGCAACGTCTAGTCTAGGCCCATGAGGGACGAGGGGATGGGAGGGATGGTGCCCGTGAGGTAGTTGGAGAAGAGGCCTCTGGGTTAGGGAGGGAAAACAAAAAGGGAAGAAAAGGGAACACGATTTCAGATTCGGTTGAGCGCCGCCTTAGCTGCTGCTCTCCAATTGCTGAGACACCTCATCGGATATGATGGAGACATTAGGTAAGACACGTCATCTGCTGATGATGGAGACATTAGGTAAGACACCCCATCTGCTGATGGTGGAGACATTAGGTAAGACACGTCATCTGCTGATGATGGAGAGGAGGCCTCTGGGGCAGGAAGCAAGAACAGAAAGGGAAAACGTTTGATTTAAAGATGGAGATCGTTGCTTGTGGTCTTCGTCTTGAAATGAGCTATTGCAACCTCAATCCTACGAAAGGAACCTGCTTGCCAACATCTGTATATCGTTCAACAGCTCCCCTTGTACCGATCCAACCCTACATGAACAGTGACGATGCAAGTCATGCAACTTCCTCAAAGCCGGAACTGTGTTTTGTTGAGCAGCAGCAGCAGCTACACGATCCAGATGGCCTCTTCTTCCCCCTAGCAATGCCTTATTGACCTCCCTGCCGCGTCTCCCTCTCCCCTGCCTTGCATCTTCCCCATTTCCAGCCTTCTCCTGCTTCATGCTGTTCCCTCCATCTGTGCCTGCCTTCTCCACCCGCAGCAGCAACAAGGCGTTGAGAGGTCTTTGGTCTTGATGCACTCCGTCCCTTACAGGCCTTTCCAGTCCTTCAAGGAGCAGAGCTATTCGGATGGGGCCTCTGCCACTCAAACGAGGATTAGGCCTTCATGCACAGCCTCACTTACAGGCCTGTGAGTGACGGTAGGGCGAAGAGTGACGATGGGATAAAGCCGACGAACCAGTTATAGTGAAGGAACCTGTAACGAGTACAAGGGAGGGACAGGAGAAATGCGTAGGAGACGATTGTAATGTGCTCACTAGGACTCGCAGGTCATACTTTTGAGAATTCTCTAAAGTTCCTGACTTTTGAGTCGTCTCAAAGGTCCCTGAGTTGTGGGACAACAAGGCAGTGAGTAGAGGCTAATATGACTTGGCGAATGTGAGGGCAAATGACTTTTGAGACGTCTAAAGACTTGTGAGTCGCGTCAAAAGACCACAGGTCACCCTTCAATAGAACAGTCACAGCACTCATTTTGAGGCGCGTCAACAGCACTCATTTTGAGGCGCCTCAAGAGGCGACTGTGACTCGAGAGTCGCGGCAAATGCCCATAGGTCACCCTTCAACAGAACAGTCACAGCACTCATCACACACACACACACACGCACGCACGCACGCACGCACGCACGCACGCACGCACGCACGCACGCACGCACGCACGCACACACACACACACACACACACACAGAGCACAGAAATTCTGCCTTGGTATGAATGAGCAAAACACTCACAGGTCTTTGAGGGACGACAAGGTAGTGAGGGCCGAGACGAATGTGAGGAGACGCGCCTGAAAGAGGTTGTAACCCAGGTCCCTGGGAGTGGTGTGGGTGGGGGGGGGATGTGAAGGGGGGTGGAGGGAGGGATGGCATGTAAAAGAGTTTGTAACCCAGGTCCCTGGGAGTGGTGTGTGTGCGAGAGGATGTTCGAATGGACGGTTCCGATGAGGCCTTGCTGGTCGAACACACAGAGCATTGCAGGACATGCACGAAAATGTGTGTGTGTGTGTGTGTGTGTGTGTGTGTGTGTGTGTGTGTGTGTGTGTGTGTGTGTGTGTGTGCGGGCGTGCATGCATACATGGATACATACATACAATATACATGTGTGCGCCAGCATGAAAGCGTGCATGTAGAGGCACATGCACATGCATGTAGAGGCACATGCACATGCATGTACAGACATGTGTCTATAGGCACATGCACACAACATACATGAAGATGCTCAAATGCACGGTTCTGATGAAGGCCTTTGCTGGCCGAAACACGTTCACACGCGACATCCAGGCCTAATGTGTCCGGCTTTCTGATTAGTGGACCTTTTCTCACTACTTCCCTCACCTTTCAGATGAGTAGACTAGTGCTATAGATTGTTACTCTTAGCAGGCTTGCTGCGTTTCGAACCCAACGAATTTCAACCACAACATACATGAAGATGCTCAAATGTTCGGTTCCGATGAGGCCTTGTCGGTTGAGCATACAGAGTAGAGCGGGGAATGCATGAGAATGTGTGAGTGTGTGTGCGCGTGTGCATGCATACATGTATGTGAGCGCCGCCAATTTGGAGATGCTCGAATGGAGGGTTCCGATAAGGCCCTGGCGATTGAGATTGCTGTGGTGTGGTGGATGGGAGTGGTAAGGATGCAATATGCAAGGGGAGAGAGAAGGGGCGGTGGGGGAGAGTTTTAGCAGAAGCAGCAGAGCTTGGTGATGTTGGAGATGTTTGAATGGACGGTTCCATTGAGGCCTTGGCGGTTGTGGTTGCTGTGGTGTGGTGGATGGGAGTGGTAGGGTAGCAACAACAAGCGGAGAGAAGGGGTGGGGAAGGTGAGAGCAAATGGACGGTTGGTAGAGATTGCTGTGGTGTGGTGGATGTGAGTCATAACCATGCAACGCGAGGGGGAGAGAAGGGGCGGTGGAGTGAAGGGGTGGTGGGGGAGAGAGATAACAGAAACAGCAGCAGCAGACAAAAACAGATGAGGCAGCAGCAGAAGCACTACAATCTTCCAGCATTTTCAGAAGGGCAACGAGGAGGAAAACGACGGTACAACAGGCATCTACTCGTTACACTCACATCTTGACGACAGCACCAGCTGCATTACACTCGACGCCCTTCCACGCACTCGCAGCAGAAGATGCGGGCATAGGAGCCACCAAGGCAGCAGCCACAGGGCAGAGATACACCAGAGAATGAGAGAATGAGAGCACTACAATCCAATCTTTACTACACTCACATCCGCTTACAGTCACCTGCTCGTCACACTCACATCTTCACAACTGCGCCAGCTGAATTACACTCCACGCCCTTCCATGCACTAGCAGCAGCAGACGCAGGCATGGGAGCCGCCAAGGCCCCAGCCACCGGGCAGATATACACCAGGGAAGGCGAGGAGGCGGTGGGGAAGGAGGCAGACGTTGAAACAACCCCCATAACGGTAGCAGTAGGAACGGAGGCCCAAGACGAGAGAGTCACTCCGAGGGAAGACTTCAGAGCAAGCATGGCTTGAGATGATCCCGAGGCCATGCCGATAAGAGCACAGAACATCGGGAGCAGCGGAGACGAGGAGGTATATGGCGTGCGATTGCTAAAAGGGGCTGAGGCGTTTGGAGCACATGAGCCTCCCCCACATAGCACCTGGGAGGACCCCGCTGCAGGCACCACCCACCCTGCGCCTGCTGCATCCGCCGCCATGGTTACGTTACAGATGGAGCAGGCAGCGGGGGTGCGCTGGGTGGTGGCGGTGGTGTTGCAGTTGGAGGCCTGCGAGAAGCAGTTGCTGGTGGCGGTGCAGTAGGTGGCGGAGTGAGAAGGGAAGGAGCCAAAGAGGAAGTTGTGTTGCAGGTCGATGTTCTTTAGGGCCGGGCCGGGGGCTGGGAAGGTTCCGGTGAGGTAGTTGCGGAAGAATTTGCTGCAGTGGGAGAGAGGGAGGGAGGGAGGGAGGGAGGGAGGGAGGGAGGGAGGGAGGGAGGGAGGGAGGGAGGGAGGGCAGAGTGGGATGGGGGAGAGAAGGAGGGAAGGGGCCTGAGAGGGTGGGGTAGTGGAGAGGAGAGGGTGGGAGGGAAGCGGGGAGAGCGGAAGAAGGAGCAGAACAGAAGGGCTTTGGGAGGAAGTTGTGTTACAAGTTGATGCATTAGAGAAGGGAGGCGGAGGATGGGTAGGTAGGTTCCTGTGGGGCAATTGCAGGGGGAGGAGGGTTGGGGGGGTGAGCGTGAGAGGAGGTTGAGGGTCGAAAAGGTTCCGGTTAAGAGGTTGACTGCACCAGCAGTCGCAGAGAGAGCTTATGAGAGGCGGAACAATATAGTGCAAGAGAGGGGGAGGGAGGGGTGGCTAAGGCCGGCGGTGGTCCCTGAAGCGACTCTTCAAAGTCGTCAGCATCCAAACTCATAATGGATTAGCTCGGCGGTGGTCCCTGAAGCGACTCACAAGTCGCCTCAAGAAGCGTGACGCAAACATAATATTTGTGAAATGAGGAGGCTTAACACACAAGCAACTAAGGAGCAAACATGGAAATTAATACATAAGGAGCAAACAAGGAATTTAATTATTCTATTATCCCGCAACCAGATTGACTCACATCCAGTAGAGGTTGGGAAGGGCAATGAGGGCTGTGGGTATGGTGCCATACAGCCAGTTCTGGTGAATATGCCTATAACGGGGATAGAGGGAGAGGAGAGGGTGATGATCCAGGCAGGAAAATGGGCGGCAGAAAGAAAGGAGTAGGAAGGACCATTAGCATTGATAACAGAAGCTGGAGTTTATACGAGCAAGAACATATGGATATATACACTTGTAAGGTAACTCTTGTGTTGACTCGGAAGGCAAGGAAGGAGTAAGTAAGGAGGAACATGAGCATCAACGACAGACGATGAGGGAGACACATGAACATCAGATCTGACTGTATGTCTCAGTCTCTCAGGTGACATTTGCATCAAAGTCACAAGGTGAGGGAGGAGCATTGAAGAACACAAACATGGACTACAGAAGAAAATAAGCAATCACATGTCCCGAACATGCCATACCTCTGAAAACATGGCATGGTTACCGCATCAACCAGGAAGCACACACAACACAGAGGCGGTTTTTGAGTCGACTAAAAAATCGCCTCTTTTGAGTCGACTCAAAAATCGCCTCTTCACACATGGTTACCGCATCAACCAGGAAGCACACACAACACAGGTCAGCAAGGGTGGTGAGCGAGCGGCAGCAGGGTGAACACGTGGTCACAGCGCATCGCACACACAGCATGAGAGCAGCACACAGCATGAGAGCAGCACACGGCATGAGAGCAGCACGCACACATCAGCATCACATGAGCAGCACACGAGAGCAGCACGCACAGGTCAACAAGGGCGGTGAGCGGCAGAAGGGTGGATGTGAATGCTGCCATACGTTGCACGAACAGGTTCGTGCCCAGCCCTCTGGGGTGGGGTGGGGAGGAAACGCAAGAGGTGGGAGGGAGTACAGGAAGGGGGGAAAGAGGGGAAAGAGAAGGGGGGAGAGAATGGGGGGGAAAGAGATGTGAAGGAGATGTGAAAGAAGGGGCTAAAGGAAAACCCAGCTTGGTAGATTCTTGTTTTTGTTTCTGTTGCTGTTTATATCAGGCATCTTGAAACTGTGCCTCACGCACAAGTGAGTTGGCATGGCCGAACGATGTGTCAGCATCGGATGGCGTACGTGTGAGTCAGCAGCATGTGAGTGAGCATGTGAGTGAGCATGTGCGTGAGCATGTGCGTCAGCATGGCATGGCATGGCATGGCATGGCATACATGTGATTGAGCGCAGTGAGCTTGGAGATTTCCTTTGGGATGCTTCCTGTCAGCTTTTGATTCTCCAGGACGCTGTGTGTGGGGGGAGGAGGAAGTTGAGAGGGGGCAGAGGGAAGGCATTAAGGAGGCATAAGAAGAACCAAGAAGCACTGAGAGGCACTGCAAACGGATGGAAATTTCACACACATCCATCCCATGCCCTACACATGCACACATGCACACATGCACGCACATCTGGCGCACATCCCCTGTGGTCAAGCAGAACACGCCCATCCACTCCCCCACTTGCCGCGCCTGGCATACATGCAGTGTCGCACACACACATATGCATCACCCCGCCCGCACACACACAGACACACGCACACATGCACGCGCGCACGCACGCACGCTGCATCACACACACACACCCACCCACCCACCCGCCCATCCACCCACCCACCCACCCACCCATCCACACACACCCACCCACCTACCCGTAACCCGGCCCATCCACTCCCCTGCTTGCCGCGTCTGGAGTACATGCAGTGTCGCACACACACACACACCACACACACACATACACACACATGCATCAACCCCCCCACACAAACGCACATCTGGCGCACATCCCCCGTGGTTGAGCAGATCACGCCCGTCCACTCCCCCGCTTGCTGTGTCTGGCTGGTGACGGTGCATGCCGTGTTGCCTGCTGCCCACGTGGTAAGAGTGACGCCGAGCGATGACTTGATAATAAGAAGAGTGTCGACTGGGGGGGAAGAGGGGGGGGGGGGGGGGGGGTGGGGTGTTGTACAGGGGATGGGGAGTGGGGGGGTAGGCAGGGGCAGGGAGGGCAGTGGGGAGAAGAATGACTAGTGAGAGTACAAGCCGTGCTGCCCACTGCCCACGTGGTGAGGGGGACGCCGAGCGATGGCTTGATAATCAAAAGAGTGTCGACTGGTGGAGACGGGAGGGGATGGGGAGTAAGAAGAGGAGGTGGGGGTCAGGGAACGCAGTGGGGAGAAGGGTGGATGGGTGGTGAGGGTGACGCGGAGCGACGGTGTCGACTGGTGGGGCGACACGAGGAGGTGGGGATGGGGAGAGGAGGGACCAGGTGGTGGGGGAAAGCATGGGGAAGAGGGCACCAGACGGGGGGGGGGATGGGGATGGATGGCTGGTGAGGGGGCATGCCATGCTGTAGAAGAGGGGGGGGGGGGGGGGGGAGGAGAGAGGGGGAACACGAGGAGGTGGGGGGTGAAAGGTTGAGGGGATGCGGAGTGGTGCGAGGGAGGAGGTCTAAATGGGTGGAGGAGGCAGGGGGAATGGGGAGGCAGGGATACAGGGGAGGCAGGGGGAAGGTGAGGCAGGAAGAAGGGGGAGGTGGGGGAAAGGGGAGGCAGGGGGAAGGGAGGCAGGGGGAAGGGAGGCAGGGGGAAGGGGAGGCAGGGGCAAGGGGAGGCAGGGGGAAGGGGAGGCAGGAAGATAGGTGGAGGTGGGGGAAAGGGGAGGCAGGGGGAAGGGAGGCAGGGGAGGCAGGGGGAAGGGGAGGCACGGGGAAGGGGGGACACGGGGAAGGAGAGGCAGGGGGAAGGGGAGGCACGGGGAAGGGGAGACAGGGGCAAGGGGAGGCACTGGGGAGAGACCACCCAGCCTGGGGCACCCCAAGCCCCCTTCCTCCTGCATCCCTTCCCCCGTAGCAGGTGGTTGTTGAGAACATGTGATGGGACATCCTGGCTCCCCTTCCTGTCCGCGGCCCCCGTTCCCCCGCACCCCGCTCCGCGCCCAGCCCTCCGCCTGCTCGCGCTCACTTGTGCTTGCGCTCATGGGCACTGCGCGCACGCGCGGAATAAGCGGAAGAAGCGGAATAATCACGGCGCAGAGGACCACGAGGCCCCCCATCATCCCCGCGCCGCGCGGAAAAGACCAGTTCGATCCGCCGCCCATCATCCGCGCTTGTTCCGCCCGCCATTCGCATCGCCGCGCCCTTCGCCGCGCATGCGATATTGACGCACCTCCTCCCCCGCACACCTCCCGCATCCCGCGGCGCTTTTCTGGTTGCATTGCGCACGCAACGCTGAGTATCTAGCGAGTTTTATCAATCTATCAGCTTCAGCCAAAACATGAGGCGTCTTGAATTGCGGTCCAGACCTTTCGTGAGGCTTTCGCGAGACGAACTCACGTCGCCTGAACCGTTACCGCCGAAATGCGACAAGTGCCAGCTGTGGGAACCAACGCGATTATGCTTGGACATCACACTGTAACGATTGACCTTGCATCAGAGCAACGATGGCTGGCGCACTGACCCAATCTCTCACCTCGCCTACATCCAACTCAATGTGCACCCAAATCACATGCGAAATCCGCGTGTCGTTGGCGAAGAATTCGGTTGGTTCGTTTTCCAGCATGTGTGCTCTTGTTTTAGGGAGAGGGGGAATGGTTGGCTAGCTGGTGATGTGCGAAGACTTGTGACGGAATGGAGAGCGTGGCGACGGGTTACAGGTTGTTTATGCACTACAAAACTTGTATACAGCTGACGCCCAACCTTGTCGAGAAACCAAGAGGGTCTTAAGACTTAATTTTATTCCAAATTTCTCCAATTTCCCAAAAGAATGACACCCCGTTTCTAGTAATTTTGTGTGTGGCCGAAATGCACGGAAAATGTCCCCAGAGACCGTTGTTTTATTTCCAAGCTGTTAGCTGTTGATATTTCTGTTGGCAAGGTTCTCAAGAAGCAAGTTTTTGAAGCTCTTTCCAGTCTGAAATTCCTGAAACATGGATCTTCTGGAATGGGCATCCGGTGTACTGTGTAAACTGTCATACACTCTGCAATGGAGCTGGCCGCCAGCTGGCTTCACCACAGTCACAACAAATTATTGATTTGGTCCCATTTTCCACGCAAGCACCACCTCTGGCACCACACCCTCAATTCGTCGCTAGCAGGCCTGTCGAAGTCCCTGGGACCAAAACTTTGAGTCCTGAGCTGTTCGAATTCTTTCCCTGATTTTCACGGGCGTACGCCAAATTCAAAACTGGAAATCAGCGCTTCTTAGGAAAGTGTACTTTGGCCCTAATGTAACACAAGAGGAAATTTACCTCTTACTTAGCCGGAAAAGGTACACACAAACTACTCATCTACACGCCTACAGCCTCTACATCGTCCACAAAAACACCGTCGGCAAAGATATGGGGGAGTAAGGTTGGGGGGGGAGGGATGGCGGCGGGAATTCGGGTGGGGGGGGGGGGGGTCCTTCAAAACAGAAACCAAAACTTTGATTCAGGGGAAGGCCCAAACGAGGCCCTTAACTGTCACGGGTGCCATGCCTATCTAACACTTTGTATGGTCGAGCTGCTCGAAACGTAGGCCAGAATGTTCAGGGCATTAAGGGCAAATGCCCTTGCTTCTACAGCCCTGGTCGCTAGCAAACACAGCACCTAGCCAGACCAGATGTGACAAAAACAGGTCACACACACACACACACACACACACACACACACACACACACACACACACACACACACACACACACACACACACACACACACACACACACACACACACACACACACACACACACACACACACACACACACACACACACACACACACACACACACACACACACACACACACACAACACACACACACACACACACACACACACACACACACACACACACACACACACACACACACACACACACACACACACACACACACACACACACACACACACACACACACACACACACACACACACACACACACACACACACACACACACACACACACACACACACACACACACACACACACACACACACACACACACACACACACACACACACACACACACACACACACACACACACACACACACACACACACACACACACACACACACACACACACACACACACACACACACAACACACACACACACACACACACACACACACACACACACACACACACACACACACACACACACACACACACACACACACACACACACACACACACACACACACACACACACACACACACACACACACACACACACACACACACACACACACACACACACACACACACACACACACACACACACACACACACACACACACACACACACACACACACACACACACACACACACACACACACACACACACACACACACACACACACACACACACACACACACACACACACACCACACACACACACACACACACACACACACACACACACACACACACACACACACACACACACACACACACACACACCACACACACACACACACACACACACACACACACACACACACACACACACACACACACACACACACACACACACCACACACACACACACACACACACACACACACACACACACACACACACACACACACACACACACACACACACACACACACACACACACACACACACACACACACACACACACACACACACACACACACACACACACACACACACACACACACACACACACACACACACACACACACACATCACCCCACCTGTATCTGCGATTCTGAGGTTGCGAGTGTGATTCGTGATTGGTGAAGGTCGTTGGAAGCAAGGGTGTGGTGCAGTGGAGTGGAGCCCACCTGTACATCTTTGGTTTGGCACCACTTTGAACCATCTGAAATGATACATTACCGTGCTGAACCCTTGTCGAAGTCGGAGCTCTAAGGGCCTCACGAAAAATGAACCCCACCATGAAATTTGTGAGGTTCGTCCATCCATGCAGTGGAGCTTCGAGTGTGGTGTGGTGTAAGTGATCTTGCGCCAGCCCTCTTCCAGATACAGTGTAGTTGTCGAAGTGTACAGTACCGAGCCGCACCCCCTTGCTGAATCAGTGTGTAACTAATCGCACCACACCAAACCGAAACAAAACATACTTAACCGTCATACTTGATGCGTGTCACGGCATTCCTCCCCCACCCCCCTTTCTCGTCCGTACATTTTTTCTTCCGCGCTCCGAACCAGCTGCACGCGCAGTCCGCCACCAATCCCGCCCCTCATCTCAAGAGACAGCCACAGCTGCCGCGTGAAGCGCAGCTTGGACGAGTCCGAAGCGCTTGTAGCGTAAGCTTCAAAAGCCTGTCTTCAACTTCGGGACGTGATCGCCGTGCTTTGGTAGGAAGCTGTGAATGCGCAGTTGAGCACACGACAACAGTGCGTCAGAGACAGAAAAGCTGCGATTGTAGAGAAATTCGAATCTCCTCAGCATTAGGGTTTCTAGCACGTCTTCCAGTTATAGATTCCCGTGCTTGGCGCCGGCTCCGCGAGCTTCCAGAGGCTTGTATTGCCGAGTAGCGGGATTACTCGGCGATCTTTCTCTGGGAACTCCTCCGACTAGAAGGGTTGCCCGATTCTTCGTCGCAAACGTTTCGCGAACTGTCGCAAGATGTCGCAAGATATCGCGAGTCCGCACTTTTGATTGCGACATCGGCGGAACTGTCGCGAATTACTATTGCAAGGCAACGTGCAATCGTAGAACTCCTCCGACTAGAACACCGCTTACACTCCGCCGCGCGCCGCGGGGTGATGCGCGTCCCGCGCACACGACCATGGCGCGTTGTCGCGGCGACAGGCTCGGCAGCCCAGCCGCGCTGCGCTTCCAGCGCCTCCCGTCCATCTGGAGAGATCTTTCCGCATGTTCTTCCCCATGGGCGCTTTCCGCCGCCCCCCAGAAAAGGGCTTTGCGCCCCGCGCGGGGACGAACCCCTCCCACGCCGGCGCTCCGCAGCGCCGAAGCGGTGATATGCGCAACGCTGTCGGCGCGTTTGGCGGCGACGATCGCTCTCCTGCTCGTCGCCGGCATGTGCGGCGGCTTCTGCGGCTGCGCTAGCGCCGTCGCCGTCAACCGTAACGACTGTAAGTAGGCGAAACTAACGATCGTCACTCTCGTTACCCTTTCGCTTGCAAATGTGGCTGCATGCACGAAATATGCTTGCATGTCATGCTTAAAAATGAGCGTTTTTTCTGAGGCGCCTCAAAAATAGACTATGTCGTGCCAGAAAGCGCGCTCCTCCTCCGCACTCCCTTCCCTCCCCGATTCTCCTTTCCTCCATACTCCTCCCGTCCCCCTCCCGCTCCCTCCTCCCCTTCCCGCCGTTCCTCCCCGTTCTCCCCCATTCCGCGCCCGCCGCAACGAACGCATCCGCGCACCTGCGCCCGCCGAACCCCCACCCCACTCCCCCCAGAGGCTCTCGCTGCGCGCTGACCTCAGTCAGTTGCTGCGCCTCACGAATAGCCCCCCCGTTCCCCCTTCCGCCTTCCCCGCCTTCCCCTCTTCCGCCGAACCCCCACTCTCCCCAGAGACCCTCGCTGCGCGCTGACCTCAGTCAGTTGCTTGCTCCTCACGAATACCGCCCCCATTCCCCCTTCCCCTTTCCGCTTCCCCCTCTCCCCTCTTTCCCCTCTCCCCTCCCCTTCCCTCCAAAGCAACCTCATTGCGCGCCAAGCGCCTTTCTTTAGGCGCCCCAAGTACAGAGCTGAGTTTCACAACGCCCGCCCAAGGCGCTCTACGCGCTCTAGGCCTGCCCTTCACCCCTTTTCCCGCATCCCCCCCTCCCCCCAATCGCATGCGCGTGTTCCCCCTCCCCCTGCGCCCCCCAGGGGCCGCGCTGCTCTCTGGGCGCCGAACTGAACTTCACCACGCCCGCCTCGCGCACGCCCAAGCCGCTCTGTTCTTCCCGCACCCCTAACCCCCCCCTTCCCCCTTTTTCCCCAGGGGCGGCGCTGCTGTCACTGCGCGCCGAGCTCAACTTCACATTGCCAGCCCCGTGCACGCCCAATGCACTCTGTCCCTTCCTTGTTCCCTCCCCTCCTTTCCCCCTCTTCCCTCTCCCCCCGTGCTCCCCAGGGGCGGCGCTGCTGTCACTGCGCGCCGAGCTCAACTTCACCGTGCCTGCATCACGCACGCCCAAGGGGCTGTGGGCGTCGCGGGCGAGTTGCGATGACCTGTACGGGGTGCGGTGTGACGACCAGGGCAGCGTTACCTCCCTGTGAGTGCTGCTCAGTACTCTCCTTACTCTCCTTACTCTCCTTACTCTCCTTTTCTCTTTGACTCTGTTCCGCTGTGAGTTCCCAAGGCGTTGTGGGCATGGAGGGGGATCTGTGATGACCTGTACGGCGTGCGCTGCGATGAGTACGGTAGCGTCACCTCCCTGTGAGTGCTGCTCTCATCTCACTCTCGTGCTCTGTTTCACTGTGAGTCATGCTGTGAGTTCCCAAGGCGTTGTGGGCATGGAGGGGGATCTGTGATGACCTGTATGGCGTGCGCTGCGATGAGTACGGCAGCGTCACCTCCCTGTGAGTGCTGCTCTCATCCCACTCTCGTGCTCTGTTTCACTGTGAGTCATGCTGTGAGTTCCCAAGGCGTTGTGGGCATGGAGGGGGATCTGTGATGACCTGTATGGCGTGCGCTGCGATGAGTACGGCAGCGTCACCTCCCTGTGAGTGCTGCTCTCATCCCACTCTCGTGCTCTGTTTCACTGTGAGTCATGCTGTGAGTTCCCAAGGCGTTGTGGGCATGGAGGGGGATCTGTGATGACCTGTATGGCGTGCGCTGCGATGAGTACGGCAGCGTCACCTCCCTGTGAGTGCTGCTCTCATCCCACTCTCGTGCTCTGTTTCACTGTGAGTCATGCTGTGAGTTCCCAAGGCGTTGTGGGCATGGAGGGGGATCTGTGATGACCTGTATGGCGTGCGCTGCGATGAGTACGGCAGCGTCACCTCCCTGTGAGTGCTGCTCTCATCCCACTCTCGTGCTCTGTTTCACTGTGAGTCATGCTGTGAGTTCCCAAGGCGTTGTGGGCATGGAGGGGGATCTGTGATGACCTGTATGGCGTGCGCTGCGATGAGTACGGCAGCGTCACCTCCCTGTGAGTGCTGCTCTCATCTCACTCTCGTGCTCTGTTTCACTGTGAGTCATGCTGTGAGTTCCCAAGGCGCTGTGGGCATGGAGGGGGATCTGTGACGACCTGTATGGGCATGGAGGTGCGCTGCGATGAGTACGGCAGCGTCACCGTCACCTCCCTGTGAGTGCTTCTCAGTGCCCTCTTCTTGCTCTCTTTTTCTCTTTTCGGGGCATCTAAAAAAAATGTTATGCGCACTTCACATGCGTTCACAGACGCACACACACATGTTTGTGTTTCCCTATGTGCAGCCCCTCTCCCCGCCCTCTCTCTTCCCGTTCCCCTCTCCACCCTCTCTCTCCTCCCCCCACACCCTCCCTTCCCATTCCCCGACCACCTCCGCCCTTTCTCTCCCCCCACCAGTCTCCTATACAGCGTCACAGGCACGCTTCCCTCTGCAATCGGCAACCTCACTGCCCTCACCACACTGTGAGTTTGCCGTTTCACCGCTCTGCACCGCACTGCCTCTCCCTTTAGTCCTCTGCTGCGTGATCTCCAGTTGCCCGTTGCCACTACCCCCTTCAGCCCACTCCTCCCATCCCCTTCGTCTTTATCTCTCCTCATTCAACCCCCGATCATCTCTCCATCATCGTCCCGTCATCGTCCCATCATTTCACTCCCACATTAGCCTAATCTCTGCACCCCCCCAACCCACACCCCCCCAACCCGCACCCCCACAACACCCCCACCCCACCCACACCCCCTCCATCCCCACCCATCCCCACCCATCCCCACACAGGTCCGTCTCATCCAACCTCTCGTGCCCGCTCCCACCCACCATGGCCACTCTCACCTCTCTGGTCGGCTTGCATCTGAGCCGCAACAACTCTTTTACCACTGCTCCCCACCCACCCACACCCCCCCACGAACCCCACCCACCCATCCCCACCCACACCCACACAGGTCCGTCTCATCCAACCTCTCCTGCCCGCTCCCACCCACCCTAGCCACCCTCACCGCTCTGGTCAATCTGCATCTCGGCCGCAACAACCTCTCCTGCTCGCTTCCTCCCTGGCTCACCACGCTCACGCAGCTCAAGATTCTGTAAGATCCGATCTGATTTGATTCGTTTTGTGTGGTCCGGTTGTGCTTGGTACGAATGCGATCGACCAGCTGTGTCCAGTAGTATTCTGTGCCGTACGTAATCGGTGCGATTGTGTAGAATTTAATGAAAGGACTAGGAGTGGGATGCTATGTCCAGCAGATCACCGCCCCCTTTTGAGTCAACTCAAGGTCTCTCTCTGCATTCTCTCCCTCTCTCCCTTCCCCCTCCCCACACCACCCTTCGCCGCACCTTGTTCCACTCCCTCTATCTCCTTCGCCACACTCCCCCCCTGCCCCTGTCGCACACTCTCCACCCTCTCCCCAGGAGCATAGAGTGGAACAAGCTCACGGGCAGCATCCCTGCTGGCATCTCCGCACTCTCCTCTCTCTCCGCACTGTAATGCCGCTGCCATGCACCCATGCACCCGAGCGTGTAACCATGCACCCGGGCGTGTAACCATCCACCCGAGCGTGTAACCATGCACCCGAGCGTGTAACCATGCACCCGAGCGTGTAACCATGCACCCGAGCGTGTAACCATGCACCCGAGCGTGTAACCATGCACCCGGGCGTGTAACCATGCACCCGAGCGTGTAACCATGCACCCATGCGTGTAACCATGCACCCGAGCGTGTAACCATGCACCCGAGCGTGTAACCATGCACCCGAGCGTGTAACCATGCACCCGGGCGTGTAACCATGCACCTGAGCGTGTAACCATGCACCCATGCGTGTAACCATGCACCCGAGCGTGTAACCATGCACCCGAGCGTGTAACCATGCACCCGAGCGTGTAACCATGCACCCATGTGTGCGAATATGCATCCATGCTGCAATGCATCCATGTCCCCCATACCCATACGTGCGCCATGCACACACGGACGGACACCATGCACCCCCATGTGCTCAATGCTCCCAATGCATGCCACCCCCCACCCCACCCCCCGCTACGTCTTACCCTTAACGAATGCCGCCCGTTCCTGCCACACTGCCCCTCTTCTCTCCCCCTGCCGCATCCCCCACTGCAGGCGAGCGGACTACAACCTTCTCACCGGCTCCATCCCGGCTGTTATCGGCAGTCTAACGCCAATGCCCACATGCTCACATTCTCTCTGCTACGACCCAATGCATGTCACCCCCTCCCCTGCTACACCCCCCAACCCCCCATGGCAGGCGAGCGGACTACAACCTTCTCACCGGCTCCATTCCGGCTGGTATCGGCAAGCTCACTAACCTAACCCAACTGTGAGTATCTATTGACTGTTTGAGGTTCTTCAGAAATAGTCACTCCAGCGACACTGCAATTATGTTGCTTCCAGTCAACACCCCCTCCCTTCCTCCCCAGCGACACTCCACCCCACCGCATTTTTCTTGCATTCAACAGACTCGGCTGTTTCTGAGGCGTCTCAGAATCTCCCTCCACTTCCTCCCCTCTCTCCTCCACATCCTCCCCTCTCTCCTCCACATCCTCCCCTCTCTCCTCCACATCCTCCCTCTCTCCTCCACATCCTCCCCTCTCTCCTCCACATCCTCCCCTCTCTCCTCCACATCCTCCCCTCTCTCCTCCACATCCTCCCCTCTCTCCTCCACATCCTCCCCTCTCTCCTCCACATCCTCCCCTCTCTCCTCCACATCCTCCCCTCTCTCCTCCACATCCTCCCCTCTCTCCTCCACATCCTCCCCTCTCTCCTCCACATCCTCCCCTCTCTCCTCCACATCCTCCCCTCTCTCCTCCACATCCTCCCCTCTCTCCTCCACATCCTCCCCTCTCTCCTCCACATCCTCCCCTCTCTCCTCCACATCCTCCCCTCTCTCCTCCACATCCTCCCCTCTCTCCTCCACATCCTCCCCTCTCTCCTCCACATCCTCCCCTCTCTCCTCCACATCCTCCCCTCTCTCCTCCACATCCTCCCCTCTCTCCTCCACATCCTCCCTCTCTCCTCCACATCCTCCCCTCTCTCCTCCACATCCTCCCCTCTCTCCTCCACATCCTCCCCTCTCTCCTCCACATCCTCCCCTCTCTCCTCCACATCCTCCCCTCTCTCCTCCACATCCTCCCCTCTCTCCTCCACATCCTCCCCTCTCTCCTCCACATCCTCCCCTCTCTCCTCCACATCCTCCCTCTCTCCTCCACATCCTCCCCTCTCTCCTCCACATCCTCCCCTCTCTCCTCCACATCCTCCCCTCTCTCCTCCACATCCTCCCCTCTCTCCTCCACATCCTCCCTCTCTCCTCCACATCCTCCCCTCTCTCCTCCACATCCTCCCCTCTCTCCTCCACATCCTCCCCTCTCTCCTCCACATCCTCCCCTCTCTCCTCCACATCCTCCCCTCTCTCCTCCACATCCTCCCCTCTCTCCTCCACATCCTCCCCTCTCTCCTCCACATCCTCCCCTCTCTCCTCCACATCCTCCCCTCTCTCCTCCACATCCTCCCCTCTCTCCTCCACATCCTCCCCTCTCTCCTCCACATCCTCCCCTCTCTCCTCCACATCCTCCCCTCTCTCCTCCACATCCTCCCCTCTCTCCTCCACATCCTCCCCTCTCTCCTCCACATCCTCCCCTCTCTCCTCCACATCCTCCCCTCTCTCCTCCACATCCTCCCCTCTCTCCTCCACATCCTCCCCTCTCTCCTCCACATCCTCCCCTCTCTCCTCCACATCCTCCCCTCTCTCCTCCACATCCTCCCCTCTCTCCTCCACATCCTCCCCTCTCTCCTCCACATCCTCCCCTCTCTCCTCCACATCCTCCCCTCTCTCCTCCACATCCTCCCCTCTCTCCTCCACATCCTCCCCTCTCTCCTCCACATCCTCCCCTCTCTCCTCCACATCCTCCCCTCTCTCCTCCACATCCTCCCTCTCTCCTCCACATCCTCCCCTCTCTCCTCCACATCCTCCCCTCTCTCCTCCACATCCTCCCCTCTCTCCTCCACATCCTCCCCTCTCTCCTCCACATCCTCCCCTCTCTCCTCCACATCCTCCCCTCTCTCCTCCACATCCTCCCCTCTCTCCTCCACATCCTCCCCTCTCTCCTCCACATCCTCCCCTCTCTCCTCCACATCCTCCCCTCTCTCCTCCACATCCTCCCCTCTCTCCTCCACATCCTCCCCTCTCTCCTCCACATCCTCCCCTCTCCCTCCTGCGTCCCTCTCTGCGCTTATTCTCATTCAACACGTGTACGAACATCAAATCTCTCCCTCCTGCGTCCCTCTCTGCGCTTATTCTCATTCAACACGTGTACGAACATCAAATCTCTCCCTCCTGCGTCCCTCTCTGCGCTTATTCTCATTCAACACGTGTACGAACATCAAATCTCTCCCTCCTGCGTCCCTCTCTGCGCTTATTCTCATTCAACACGTGTACGAACATCAAATCTCTCCCTCCTGCGTCCCTCTCTGCGCTTATTCTCATTCAACACGTGTACGAACATCAAATCTCTCCCTCCTGCGTCCCTCTCTGCGCTTATTCTCATTCAACACGTGTACGAACATCAAATCTCTCCCTCCTGCGTCCCTCTCTGCGCTTATTCTCATTCAACACGTGTACGAACATCAAATCTCTCCCTCCTGCGTCCCTCTCTGCGCTTATTCTCATTCAACACGTGTACGAACATCAAATCTCTCCCTCCTGCGTCCCTCTCTGCGCTTATTCTCATTCAACACGTGTACGAACATCAAATCTCTCCCTCCTGCGTCCCTCTCTGCGCTTATTCTCATTCAACACGTGTACGAACATCAAATCTCTCCCTTCCTGCGTCCCTCTCTGCGCTTATTCTCATTCAACACGTGTACGAACATCAAATCTCTCCCTCCTGCGTCCCTCTCTGCGCTTATTCTCATTCAACACGTGTACGAACATCAAATCTCTCCCTTCCTCCGTCCCTCTCTGCGCTTATTCTCATTCAACACGTGTACGAACATCAAATCTCTCCCTCCTGCGTCCCTCTCTGCGCTTATTCTCATTCAACACGTGTACGAACATCAAATCTCTCCCTTCCTGCGTCCCTCTCTGCGCTTATTCTCATTCAACACGTGTACGAACATCAAATCTCTCCCTCCTGCGTCCCTCTCTGCGCTTATTCTCATTCAACACGTGTACGAACATCAAATCTCTCCCTCCTGCGTCCCTCTCTGCGCTTATTCTCATTCAACACGTGTACGAACATCAAATCTCTCCCTCCTGCGTCCCTCTCTGCGCTTATTCTCATTCAACACGTGTACGAACATCAAATCTCTCCCTCCTGCGTCCCTCTCTGCGCTTATTCTCATTCAACACGTGTACGAACATCAAATCTCTCCCTCCTGCGTCCCTCTCTGCGCTTATTCTCATTCAACACGTGTACGAACATCAAATCTCTCCCTCCTGCGTCCCTCTCTGCGCTTATTCTCATTCAACACGTGTACGAACATCAAATCTCTCCCTCCTGCGTCCCTCTCTGCGCTTATTCTCATTCAACACGTGTACGAACATCAAATCTCTCCCTCCTGCGTCCCTCTCTGCGCTTATTCTCATTCAACACGTGTACGAACATCAAATCTCTCCCTCCTGCGTCCCTCTCTGCGCTTATTCTCATTCAACACGTGTACGAACATCAAATCTCTCCCTCCTGCGTCCCTCTCTGCGCTTATTCTCATTCAACACGTGTACGAACATCAAATCTCTCCCTTCCTGCGTCCCTCTCTGCGCTTATTCTCATTCAACACGTGTACGAACATCAAATCTCTCCCTCCTGCGTCCCTCTCTGCGCTTATTCTCATTCAACACGTGTACGAACATCAAATCTCTCCCTTCCTCCGTCCCTCTCTGCGCTTATTCTCATTCAACACGTGTACGAACATCAAATCTCTCCCTCCTGCGTCCCTCTCTGCGCTTATTCTCATTCAACACGTGTACGAACATCAAATCTCTCCCTTCCTGCGTCCCTCTCTGCGCTTATTCTCATTCAACACGTGTACGAACATCAAATCTCTCCCTCCTGCGTCCCTCTCTGCGCTTATTCTCATTCAACACGTGTACGAACATCAAATCTCTCCCTCCTGCGTCCCTCTCTGCGCTTATTCTCATTCAACACGTGTACGAACATCAAATCTCTCCCTCCTGCGTCCCTCTCTGCGCTTATTCTCATTCAACACGTGTACGAACATCAAATCTCTCCCTCCTGCGTCCCTCTCTGCGCTTATTCTCATTCAACACGTGTACGAACATCAAATCTCTCCCTCCTGCGTCCCTCTCTGCGCTTATTCTCATTCAACACGTGTACGAACATCAAATCTCTCCCTTCCTGCGTCCCTCTCTGCGCTTATTCTCATTCAACACGTGTACGAACATCAAATCTCTCCCTCCTGCGTCCCTCTCTGCGCTTATTCTCATTCAACACGTGTACGAACATCAAATCTCTCCCTCCTGCGTCCCTCTCTGCGCTTATTCTCATTCAACACGTGTACGAACATCAAATCTCTCCCTTCCTGCGTCCCTCTCTGCGCTTATTCTCATTCAACACGTGTACGAACATCAAATCTCTCCCTCCTGCGTCCCTCTCTGCGCTTATTCTCATTCAACACGTGTACGAACATCAAATCTCTCCCTTCCTCCGTCCCTCTCTGCGCTTATTCTCATTCAACACGTGTACGAACATCAAATCTCTCCCTCCTGCGTCCCTCTCTGCGCTTATTCTCATTCAACACGTGTACGCACATCAAATCTCTCCCTTCCTGCGTCCCTCTCTGCGCTTATTCTCATTCAACACGTGTACGAACATCAAATCTCTCCCTCCTGCGTCCCTCTCTGCGCTTATTCTCATTCAACACGTGTACGAACATCAAATCTCTCCCTCCTGCGTCCCTCTCTGCGCTTATTCTCATTCAACACGTGTACGAACATCAAATCTCTCCCTCCTGCGTCCCTCTCTGCGCTTATTCTCATTCAACACGTGTACGAACATCAAATCTCTCCCTCCTGCGTCCCTCTCTGCGCTTATTCTCATTCAACACGTGTACGAACATCAAATCTCTCCCTCCTGCGTCCCTCTCTGCGCTTATTCTCATTCAACACGTGTACGAACATCAAATCTCTCCCTCCTGCGTCCCTCTCTGCGCTTATTCTCATTCAACACGTGTACGAACATCAAATCTCTCCCTCCTGCGTCCCTCTCTGCGCTTATTCTCATTCAACACGTGTACGAACATCAAATCTCTCCCTCCTGCGTCCCTCTCTGCGCTTATTCTCATTCAACACGTGTACGAACATCA